GAAGTGAAATACATCCATTTGCAAAAGTTCATTTCTGTGAATACCTTTAGGATTACAACCTGCTGGTAATGGAGTTTGATAGTAGAATGAGCAACTGGGGCAATTTCTTACTATTTCTTTGGCTTGTTGCCAGGTGATAGAAAAATCCTTCTTTAAGCCTTTGCTGTTAACATGGTGTTTTTTATGAAATTCTGAAGCTTCTAACACATTACCTACTAATAAACGATCAATTTCATCATTGCCTTGTGCCAGAGGACCTGGCAGACCTGTATGGGATCTGATGTGTGATATATATATATATATATATATATATATATATATATATATATGATGAGTCCTGTTTCTGATGGTTTACTCTAATTGTAAAAACAATGAGGTTAATTCTGTACTATCAGGAACAAATTCTGCAGTCTCAATGTGCAAGACAACTCTTTCTGCATACTGAGAATCCGTGACTATATTGAGAGGCTCTGTAAAGTCTTTAAGTACCATGAGAATGGTATATAACTCTGCCTTTTGTACGGAGTTGTAAGGGCTTTGAACTACTTTACTTATATTTCCTGATTTATACCCTGCCTTACCTGATTCGTTTGCATCCATGTAGAAGGTAAGAACTCCAGAAATAGGTGTTTGCCTCACCATACGTGGAAGAATCAAAATTGTTTTCTTTATGAATTTGATTCTCTCTGTTTTGGGATAGTTATTACTAATAGTTCCCAAAAATTCACTGCATGCTATTTGCCAATACTCATTATCCTTCCATAAGGAGGAAATTTCCTCATTAGTTAAAGGTACAATAATTTCAGCTGGGTCTTTCCCAGTCAGTTGACGAAGCCTTAACTTACCTTTTAATATCAAATCGGAGATCTTTTCTATATATGTTTTCAATTTTTTATTCTGTTTATGTGGCAGAAATACCCATTCTAGTATGATGTCTTTCCTCTGCATTAATATTCCTGAGGGGTATTCTTTAGATGGTAAAATAACCAGAATACAGTCCGGCTTTGGATCCACACGGGCCACATGTGCTTCTAATATTCTCTTTTCTACACATTCTAATTCTTTTTCAGCCTCAGCTGATAGTACTCATGGGCTGTTTAGGTCTTTATCTCCTTTTAAAGCCATTTTTAGGTGTTTTAAACCATGCCCTTCTACACCAATAATCGTCTGTAATTGAGAGATTTCTCCTAATAGTTTTTGAAAATCATTAAGAGTCCGGTAACAATCTCTTCTGATCTGTACTTCCTGCGGTCTAATTTTCTGAGCGTCTATTTTATAACCTAAATAGTTAATAGATTCTCTTCTTTGTACTTTTTCTGGGGCAATTTGTAATCCCCAGTGAAGCAAAGTTTCCTTTATTGCTTCAAGCATCTTTTCCAAAATATCCTTATTTGAATCAGATGGTAATATGTCATCCATATAATGATATATTAACGAATGTGGAAATTTTTTACAAATTATTTCTAGAGGTTTATTCACAAAATATTGACACAAAGTTGGGCTATTTAACATTCCTTGAGGTAGTACCTTCCACTGGAATCTCTGTACCAGTCGGGAATTATTATAGGTAGGTACCGTGAAGGCAAACTTTTCTCTGTCGTTTTCTTGTAACGGTATGGTGAAGAAGCAATCTTTCAAGTCTATAACTATAATTGGCCAATCCTTAGGAATTACAGAAGGTAATGACACCCCAGTTTGTAGAGACCCTATAAGCTGAATTACCTTGTTGATGGCTCTAAGATCAGTAACCATTCTCCACTTACCAGACTTCTTCTTGACAACAAAAACAGGTGAATTCCATGCACTAGTTGATTCCTTAATATGTCCAGCATCTAGCTGTTCCTGAACTAACTTCTCCAAAGCCTCTAACTGCTCAGATGTCATAGGCCATTGACCCACCCAGACGGGTTCATCTATCAGCCATTTTAAGGGTAGAGCTTTTGGTTGCTCTGTAGGTTTGGCACTAGCATCCTGCTTCTGTACAGCCTGTACATTTGGCATCGGTTTTCTGTACTGCCTTACTATATTCTTTCTACCACCAAGAGCTTGTCTATAATTCCTAGCTGATACATGAGGAATGTTAATCTGCGTATTTCATTGCTATAATAGATCACGACCCCAGAGGTTTATAGCAATATCTGCAACATATGGCTTTAACCTTCCTCTCTGTCCTTCTGGCCCAATAAAGTCAATCCATCTAACGCTCTGTTTAACTTCAGATAGGGTTCCAATTCCTAAGAATTGAACGTTAACCTCTTTTAAAGCCCAATTTGGCGGCCAGGAGCTCTGATTAATGGTGATGACATCACTTCCGGTGTCTAAAATGCCATTAATCACCATATTATTTACTTTAACTGATAACTTGGGTCTATGATATTGTGTAGAAGTTTTCCAAAATATACGTTTTGTACTTCCTCCTGATATAATTGATTCATCCTCTGGAGCTAATGTATTATCCAGTGCCGTATTATTTACAATGGGCAGTAGATCTTCTAATTGTCCTGGGAGAGGCTGTCCTCCACTGTCACTGGGAATGACCAGATAATCTTTCTTTCTGGGGCCTGCTTGAGGCCCCGATTCCCATTTCCCGGCTGTAAAGATCTACCTTGTCTATCTGTAGTTGACCAGCATTCGTTGGTCCAATGTTTTTCCTTTCCACACCTCCTGCAGAGACCAGGAGGCTGAGGCCTTCTGTTTGATGCATTCCTGGTAAAAGCATTATTTCTAGGAATTCATTGTCTAAAGTTCCTACTCAGATGTCCTATTTTACCACAGTTAAAGCACGTGGCATCTTTATGTCTGTTAAAATTCTTGGAGATTGCCTTCCCTACCCAGGCCTCTATATTATCATGGGTAGGGTATTTGGCATCTTGGTGCCTCCTCAGGCCTGTAGAAATAGCTTTGCCTACCCAAGCTCCTGTATATAGAACGCATTCCTCCAATGGCGCTGATCTTATTTTTAATGGACAAAGTACCTGCCTGCATTGTGGATTTGCATTCTCATGTGCCAAAGATTCTATAAGGAGTCGCCTAGATTCTGGATTTGCTACCTGTACTTCTATTGCTCTGGATAATCTCTCTAAAAATTCAGTGAACCTTTCCCTTGGACCCTGTACTACCTTGGTATAGGGTTGCATTATCTCTCCTGTTTCACAAACCTTATCCAAGGCATTTATTTATTTTTGTTAATTTTTTTTAAATTTATTTTTCAGTTTAAATTTAAATAAGACTCAAGGTTGCTTCACAAGTCAGTTCCAGGTCCCTCTCCCTTTCCCTCCCCTCCTCCCGTGCCCTCCCCCCAACCCCCCATTATCCCCTCATTTCCCCAGGAAGGGTGAGGCCCTCCATGGGGGTGTCCATATTCTGTCATTTCATATAGGGCAGGGCCTAGACCCTTCCCCAAGAGTTCAGGGTGAGAGTGCACCTCACATTGTTGGATGGGAGTCCAAAGTCCGTGTGTATACTCGGGATGGGTAATGATCTGCTGCCCAAGGCTCAATAGATTACCTAGGCCTCCTCACTGACACTCACATTCAGGGGGTCTTGATCAGTCCCATGCTGGATTCCCAGGCTAATGCCTGGGATTCAAGAATTAACCTTTGTCAGGTCAGCTGTATGGCATTTAAAGCAGCTGTACAGCATAAAGACAACATGTACTCATCATATGCAGACTGAACCTGCGTGTCAGCATAAGTCTTGGGGTACTTCATGACCATTCTTTAATTCCTGAATCTCCAAGGCTTTCGCCTCTTGCTTCCATAAAGCTCTCCATTGAATTTGACAAGAATTTTCGAGCACTGCCGAGGCTAATTGGCCCAGTCTTTTGGGGTTACTTTATTTACAGTGGCCCATGAGGTTAGGAGCTCTCTGACATAGGGAGAATGAAGACCATATGAATCAATGGCCTCCTTGATTTCCTTTAGGTCCTTCATCTGTATAGGATCCCATTGATAAGCAATGGGACCATTTGAGTGCTTTTTTGTTGCTGGTTTTTTGGTTACAGATACTGGGAAAACCATAGGTGAACACATAGCAACCTTAGGGAGATCTTTCTGGCATTTGAGAGGTGTTGGGAAACTCCTGTCCTGACCCGTTTTAATGGGGAGACGTTTTATGTAAAGCAATAAATACTCTAAGCAAAATTTTAAAAAACTAGAAAATTGCAAACATATTTTTTCATGAAATACACTGATCTTAATACAGAAAAATTAAAATCATTAATAAAAAGACATACTACAAAGTGAAAATTACTCAATAGTATAAATAGGTTCCTTTCAGACAAAAAAGTTAACTGGATTATACATATATGACCTTATGTTCACTTTTATTCATTTATTAAAGAAATGCATATGATATCAAAGGACCCATACAAAGGACAAATCATTTCTCATACATCAGATTGTTGCAAAGGATCAAGATGTTACATAATACAATATTGTTAATGGGGAAAGGCAGAATTTCATTCCCAGCCTTTATGAATTGGTTTTCATAATCCTGTGGAAAGCAGTTTAATGAAATCCACCAAATTAACCATTCATAACACTTCTCATCCAGGGATTCAGATTTCAAGAAGTCAGTGATATACATCCACAAAATTGAAGACAAGTATTCACAAAAAGTCATAGCATCATTTGGTATGGAAAGATAGACAACCAAAATGGTCAGTAATAGGGAAGCAAGCACATGTTTTAAAAATAAAGTAGATATATTATCCAGGAAAAAGAGCAAGTCATATTCCTACATTTGTAATGCAAAAGATCCAGGCAAATAACTTTAAAATGCGTGTGCATACAGATGAGTGTGTGTGCACAAACATCTGAAATAATAGGGGGGAAATGCTGAGAGATGAAATTGAGCTGCATAAGTGGCCAGGGATCTGGAGTATGAATGCGGTCCCTGTTATGTCCTAGTTGAAGTTTTTCTCTCCTGTACATATGCTGTTTATTTTCATTTTAAAATAGAAATAACAAATTGCTTTTAATAGTACTGATCATTTTCAGGTGTCAAGGATGGGACTTATCACCCTGACCTTTCCCGGAATGACCACCCTGCTAAATAAAGCCCTTCATAAGTATCTCAAAATGCTGAGGAGTTTGTGGTTGCAGCCATGCCTTTATGGTTCCTGTTCTAGTTGGCTGAAGATGCATTCATGGTGGTAAGAAATAGATTCAGGGGGTTATGGGATTTAATTTTAACCGAACCTTATTTGTTTCCCAGTCTTGTATAATACATTTACCTTTGATATTGGTCTCCAGAGGGAAAAATTTCCAGACAAGGTGTGAGTGGGGTGGAGGGCTGGAAGTACACATAAAAGTAGAGAAAGGGGTGAAGTTGGCTTTTAAATGTCTTTATGTGGCTATTTTGCCATTAGGCAGCTCCTGCTGTGGGTCATGTTTTCCTGTACAAACTACCTCACGTTTCAAAACCTTTACTTAGAAATACAGAGTGCAGGTAATTGGTAACTCTAAGCTCCACTAGAGTTACTCTTGCTCCACTAGAAGTTTTATGGTAAAATGTTTGGAAAGTTCTAATTGCTAGTAGCTTAATTTTAATAGTATACAATGAATCTGATGTGGATCCATTTCTATAACCTCTATATTCTCTTTATTAAAAAATAAATCCTTATATACTGTGTCTGCAAAATAATTTTGTAATTATTATTTCATGAAGCCACATTTTAAATCACTCAGAAAAAAAAGGCATTTCCAATAATGGTATAACAATACTGGCTTACATATTGCCTATGTAAGTTTAGGCTTAGCACTGTTCTTTGGAGGTATAACTCTCACTTACTCTATAATATCATTTTATTTCAGGCTTAAGGACTCCATTTAGAATCATTTAGAATCTATTTTATAACAGGTAGGTTCTATCTAAACACCTTCAACTTTTGTTTATGTGGGGATGTCTTGATTGAACCATATTATGCATATTTTTGTATAAGTTACAATACAATCATATCAGTCCCTCCTTCCCTTTACTCTCTCCAACCCCCCAAATTCCCTCATTCCAGTCCTCCCTTGATACCCCATTCCCTCTCAAATTCATGTCCCCTTTAACTTTGATTGTTATTCATACACACACAAATACAACTTGATGAATCTGAAAGAAAAAAATTACTGTCATTCTTGAAAAGTTTCTACACCCATATAAGCTTCTCCGCCGATATAGCAATCCAAATCAGACCAAAACAAGCCTCTGCTTATTGGATACAGTGCTTCCGGGTGGCCTTCCAGCACCCCCAGAGAGGAGGTGGTAAAGGGAGAGCAGAAAAACCTCGAGTCTGTTCCCTGGGGGACAGTTTAAATAACCTGTGGGAGTGGTCTTGTGCATCTCTGGGCCAGGGTCCATGATTTGTCAGGCTTTCTGAGATGCAGCAGGGTTTGGAGGGAGATAGGGACTTAGGTGTAATCTTAACCATAACATTCCCAGACTCTTTGGGTATATGGATGCCAGGGGCTGGGGTGAAATTTCCACCTTGACATACCAGACTGTTTTGGTATATATGGATGCCATGGGCTGGGGTAAAGCTTCCACCTTAACAATTCTTATATATAAAATTGTTTGCAACAAAATAAGACATAATACAATAAATTCCAAAGATAAATTGTGTTCTAAGAACAAACTAGCTGTGTTCTTTGGGGAAAAGGATTCAATGACATCAACTTTATGAATTTAAAAAATATATTACCTACTTATGTTTTAGCCATTGAACTCTTAAAAAGAATAACCCCAAGGCACCTATATTAATGAAACTGTAAAACTTACGCTTGAAATTACAATTTAAGGGTTGAAGAGATTCAATGAATCTGTGTTTAGTAAGACTGTAGGTTTTAAAAATTAATCAGTCAGAGATCTTACATATTACCAAAATAATAAATGGATAGTTTTAAACATTTTCAAAGTTCATTTGGTATTTTGTGTTTCATTTTTAGAAAATAAACTTGGCATGAATCTCTGTCAGATGATTGTGTTTGAAATTACAGCAAAAAATTTCAGGTGTAACAAATGCAGCATTAAAATGATTCTATGACACAGATCTTGAAACAAATTGTAGCATTAGTCATCCTTAAACATCAATAAAGAGTCTATTTCCATATATAATTATGTTTAATGGTTTGGAAACTATTTTCTCCTTATATTAAAGAATATTACTTTTATTAAAAATCTCTTAGGGTAGGGTGACATTTTACTGATTGAGTTTGAAAGCAAAGAACAAAGAGATGTTCCTTCTTATATACTGCATATGTGGGTTTTAAAGTTAGGAAGATCTGGATTTGATTCTCAGGTCTGCAAGTAAACTGATAGTGTGAGCATAGGAAAGATGCTTAATTGCCCTGGACTGAGGGCACTGACTTCAAATGGTAATGTGGATAATAATGATAATGTGTCTTGGGCATTTACCACTGTCTCTGGCGCATGATGATCTCAATGAAAGATAAATGTCCTTACCTGTTACTGTAAGTTGAAGAATATTCCCTACTTTCTTCTCAGGCAGATTAAAAGTTACATTGATTCATTTGGAGTAGAATTTTGTGTGAAGTGAGAGATAAGGATCTAGTTTCTTTTACATTTAGCTATCCGGTTTTCTGAGATTATTTCTTGAAGATGCTTTCTTTACTCCAATTTATATATTTGGACTCTTTTTAAAAATTCAGGTGGCTATAGGAATATGGGATTATATATGGAGCTTTAATTCTATTCAATTGATTACTGTCTGTTTTTGTACCAGAACTATGCTGTGGCTTAGTAGTAAAACTTGACACAAGGATGATGATTCATCCAGTGGTGTTTTCATTATTTAGTATTATTTTGGCTATCCTTTTTGTGCTTCCATATAAATTTTAAGATTGTATTTTTCTATTTCTGTGAGGAATTGTGTTGGGATTTTCAGAAATTGCAGTTCATCTATAGGTTGCTTTTGATAGGATGACCATTTCTGAAATATTAATCATACCAAACCATGGGTTATCTTACTTTGAGTTATTGATCAGTGCAGTTCAATGGACCCCCAAAACAATACATTGCTCTTGCTTATTCCCCAGAACTTGACTATAAGATCATACTCCTGAAAACACTACATGTTTGAATCATAGGGCAATTGCTAAATCAAGTTTTTATTGATATACAATCTTCTTTCTTAATGGCTAGCTTTAATAGTGCTAGAAACTTCTGTATGACCTTTTTTAAGAGAAAAGTAATCAAAAGTCTTATCAAGCTATGAACCCTTTAACATAAAATAACATTTGGCCTGGCACAATATGACCATAGGTGAGATGGAGACAAGAATGTTTTTGGGGTAACCAATTGCATTCTGACCAGATATAAGGCCTGTTCCACAAGATAAAACTCATGCCTGATATTGTTAACTTGGCCAATAACCTATGGATTGGTAGGTCCTAGGTCTTAGGGGAGAGCCTGCCACTACTATTTTGCCAAACAGACATAGTATTACACTACTTCCTATGTAATTATCTTGTGCCCATAAATAAGTGTATTTCTCAACCATCATCAGAGAATCTTCTTTTTGCAGTCGACACTAATTAATACAAAGATGCACAACTAGCCCAAGTACAGAGATTAAGAGTCTTGCTCAGACCTAAATAGGACATCTGTATCACTTCTTTTCTCCCAAGGGTCAGGGAGCATCACAGAAGAAGAAGCTGATTTCAAGAGCCAGAGGCTGCTGAGGACTTCTGGGAAGCAATGTTTCTCAATGACAAGGTTATTGCACATAAGAACTCACAGTGGTTGTGACTGCATGAATAAGACTACATAGCCAAAATGTCAGTATTGATGTGGGAGGTACTCATGAAGTCACACCCTTAGCTGAGGAACTATTGACAATTGATGGCTGCTGGGGAAGAGCCAATTTTTTTCAGGTGCCTGTGCTCTAGTAGATGGTCCAATACTCTTTCACTTACTGGCAACATTGAATGAATTCAACAGGATTAAAAAAGAACACATGAAGTCTATTCTCTAATAGATTCTATTATTGTATATAGTTTGTGCATGTTTATGAATAAAATATGGTATGTGATATTTGGTGCTTGATTTACTTTACTTAACATATTTTCAAATTTCATATGTATCATATCATAGCATGTATTAGTAATTCATTCCATTTTATGGGTGAATAACAATTATATAGCTTTACCATATTTTTCTTTTTAAAAAATTATTTTAATTATGTGTGTGTATTTGTGGGGGGTATGTCCAAGTGATTGCAGGGGCCTACATAAGTCAGGGGTGCTAGTTCTCTCTGGAGCTGGGGTTACAAGTGGTTATAAACTGCCTAACATTGGTGTTGAGAACTGATCTCAGACCTGCCCGAAGAGTGATATGCACTTTTAATCATTGAGCCTTCTCTCCAGCCCTTACCACATTTTCTTTATCAATTTATGGACATTTAGATTATTTCCACATTTATTGGCTAGTTGTGTTTTCTAAGCATTCATGTACTGTTAAACACAGCCTGTTGTGCTAGTGCAAGGAAGAAGAGAGACAACACTTAATAGGTTCCAAAAACTTTATTAAATCATTACATAAGTGCATCACTGATTCATCGGAACTCCATGACAAGGACTCAGGAGCCTTGTTCACTCTGTTCACCCTGAATAGGGACAGAAGTGGGGTTTATAAGCACAAAAGTCACAAATATTTGTTGCCAACTAACAGCTACATTTTTCACCAATCAGGAGTCAAAGATTGGGACTTTCCTTGTGTGTTCCATCGTTATCAGTTGACACAGTGTAAGCCTTTCAGATTCATTTGTTCTTTCTGTTGTTAGGAGCGGCCATTATGTCTTATAGAACTGAGGGGTGTAACAGGATTTCTATTGTCTAAGGAGGGGGTTGGTCAGCTGTTGGAAAGTTCTCACTTCCCCTAGGACTTGGGAACCTGAACTTGGTAAAATGGAGTCTTGAGTCAAAAATTACAGTACTTAGGACAAGGTGCCTGCTCTTTTCAGAATAATGTTCTTATCTGTAGACAAAATGTGTAGGGGAAATAGAGGTTTGTCATCAATGTCAAATGACAGAGTGGTCAAGTAGCATAACTGGCATGTATCCATTAAATTGTATATAAGGTGTTTGGTGTATCTAAAGAGAACAGCTTCAGCTTACTCTCACTGCTAGCTGGTTACAGACCTGAGATCAGAAATCAGATCTGTATGACTTTAAATCCCACTTATACTGTGCATGAGAGGAAACAACAGCTCATCATACTTGACTTTCAAACAGAATTGACAAATGTCATCAGATTTCCAAGAGATTTTTAATGAAAATAATATTCTTTAAAATGAAGATGAAAATAGTTTCTAAGCCAGTAAATGTCATTATGTCTGGAAATAGAATCTTTATTCATGTGCAAGGATGAGTAATGCTACAATTTCCTTCAGGATCTGTGTCAATGGAGGCATCTTAATGCTGAACTGATCACCTATGAATTTATTTGTTATTTCAAGCATGGTGGCCTTAAGCAGAGTCACACAATAGTCTGCTGGAGCAGGGAAGAGTGGAGAGTGATAGAGGGCTGCACTGGCAGGGGAAATGATGTCAGAACAGAGCCTCGAGTTAGAGAGGAACAAATTTAGACACATATTCAGGGCAAGGCACTCCTGTGGACAGAACAGCAGCTGCAAGTCCTGAGGTGGAAAGGGCGAATCATGTAGAAGACAAAGCAAGAAGGCTTAAGAGCCTTAGGCCTAATTCATTAGTGGAACTCTTCAAAAGTCTCAAAGAATGCAGTTTCTAGGCTCCTTTACGTCCCATTTTCAAATTTCCTTTAAAACAGAAATATTTTGCTAAAAGAAAAAGCGAAAGTGCAGCACACTCCCTCTTCGATAATCAATGCTGTAAATAGAGATAAATTCCAAGGACAATATTTTGAATGAAGTTTCTATGGTATTTTTTCATTTAAAACACACACACACACACACACGAAAGCTAACCATGTTTACTATGATTATGATAAACAATGTCAATGCCTGTGATGTTAGTCAGGAGTTTCTAGAGTAACAGAATTTAGAGAATAAATCTCTCAATATACATAGAAAGGGAATTTACTAGAATGACTTAAAGGCTGCAATCTAACTAATCCAACAATAGCTGGCTGTGAGCAGAAAGTCCAATAATCCAGCAGTTGCTCAGTCCACAAGGCTGGATATATTAGCTGGTTTACAATACACACAAGAATCCCAATGGAGTCTCTAATGCCAGTGAAGGAATGGACTTGCTGACAAGGCAAGAACAAGCAGGCAAAGAACAAAGGCTTCCTTCTTCCATATCCTTATATAGGGGTCCAACAGAAGCTATGGCCCGGATTAAAAGCTTGTGCCTTCCTACCTCAAAGACCTAGATTAGAAATGGATCTTCCTATTTCAAATTAAGCAAAAATCCTCACAGATGGGCCCTCTGTTTTTTTATTTCAGTTAATTCCAGATGTAGTCAAGTTAACAACTAAGAATAGCCATCATGTCTGTTCTAACTGTATAGAAGTTTATGGAGTTGTATAGACGTTGGGTCAGGCTAATTTTGTGGTATGATGTTTTTATTTATTTGCAAGTTTTTAATAATAAAGTTTATAAAGTTTAAAACACAATATACTAATACTTATTAAAAGTTGGCATCATAACAGATGATGTGGTATTTATAAATAATAAATGTTTATTGAGTGAACAAAGGATTGTGTGAATGAAATACATGTATATTCTCCAGAATATTTTATGCCATCACACACTTAATTCAAGTAATTTCTGATGTATGTATGCTGTTTTTTTGTAACATCATATAACTCACCATTGTTACGACTTAAAATTATTTTATAAACAAATATATGATAGTACATTATTTTATTTGATTACTTTTATAATTGTATTTGTCTATATAATATAGAGCAAGCATGATAATAATGCTAATGCACTATTGTTGGTGAAGCTTTATGTTAAAAAATAAAAAAGCCTTAAATGTAATTTTTGGGGCTGGAGAGATGGCTCAGCCGTTAAAGGATAGGCTCACAACCAAAAATATAAATGTAATTTTTTTTAGTAATTGATGTGTCATTGATGGTATTTGAAGATGTGGTTAGATATTTTACATATCTCCAATTAAAGCATCCTAATATTGCTTCAAGATGATTCAATGTGTGATTATATTTTTGGTGCTCATTTGCATGCTTTATTTAGTTTTTAATTTTGGATTCTTTTTCCTGTTTTAAAATAAATCAGTCCTAATGAAATTATGGTTCTAATGTGAAAAACAAGACTTTGGATTAAGGCTATATATTATCACTTATGTGAAATCCCAAGTAACTGAAAAGATGAGAAATGTGCTTATCATGTGATTATCTCATTGATTGTAATGTTAAATTTATATAAGGCCCGCAGTTCCTTTCATTTATTATCTTGATTGTTAATATAAGCATTTGTTACTTCTTATTTGCCATTAATTATTTTCAGTGAAAATTATAGTGATAGCTGTGACCTTTTCTGTTGCTGAAATAGTTGAAATTTATTTATTTAATAATATTCACTTTTGTGGCCTTATTAAGCTCAAAGCATTGGTTTTCAAGTCAGAATCTCCTAGAATTGATTTCTTGAAATCTCCATAATGTTGGCTGATTCTCCTAAGTGAATAACAACACAGGGTGAGATTCACTAATCTAGGTCATGACTACCTAATACAACCATGTTTTATATACTGTCCATTATTATCACATACATTGCTACAATGGGGAAAAAGAAGTGAAAATGAATAATGGGGAAAAAGAAGTAAAAATGAATAAAAATGAAATAACTCAATTAAAAAAAGAAAAGAAAAACAGTGGTTCTTAACCTGTGGGTTGAGATCCCTTTGGGAGTTTAATAACCCTTTCCTAGGAGTCACATATCGAATATCATGCATATCAGATATTTACATTATGATTCATAACAGTAGCAAAATTACAGTTATGAAGTAGCTATGAAATAATTTATGGTTGGGAGTCACCACAACATGAAAAACTGTATTGATGGGGTTCAGTGAGGATGAGAAGTACTGGAGAAAAGGTTTAGTGGTAGAGATCCACTCTGCCATTTACACATTACAGCACCTTACAGTGTCTGAGGGGTTTTATTCTGACCATGAATATAGGCATTATTCCTAAGAGATGAGTGGCCTTGGATGAACAATGCTTTCTTCAGAGCACCTCTGGCACTTCTGCAATTGCTGCAGCGTTAGTTCAGTGATGTCTAATTGCAATGCTTCTTGTTTCACATCCTCCTAGTTGCCTGCCACTATCTTTTGCCTGGGAAATGCATGCTTAGCTGCCTCTTAAATACAACTAAAGGAAACCCACAATTGTAGTATTTACTAGGCATCTAGGAATTTGATCTGTCTACTCTGATGTATAACTTTTTCTGGATTATTTTTAGTGACATCCTATGTTGGGGTCATGGAATGACTTCTTTAAGTGACAGTTCAGGTACCATTCTCAGCTGGCTAAAGCAGTCTGTGCTGATGTACAGCACAGTACCTGTCAGGTCCTACAGGTTGTTTTGGCAGCAACCTCTTGGATTAGCAAGATTTCCCCATGTGTGCCTTCCACTTCGTGCTTCTGTAAATTTAAACGACACCTATGTAAAAAGGATTTTCAATAATTCCTGACACACAGTAAGTGCTAATGAAATACTAATTAACAAGGGCTAAATATTATTAAATATAAATAATTCACATTAAATATTTGTGTTGAATTCACTAGTACCAGGCAAAATACTTTCCACCTGTGTTTTTGAGTGGCAATTCCTTGTGTTCTCCACTTGTTTTTAACTTCTGTTCCATTTGGATAGGGTGTTCTAAACAGTATTTGGAGGTAGCCATACTCAGCACCCACAGAAAATAATTGTGTCAGTGTGCAAGCCTGTCTCCCTTCTGACTACAGAGTAACTCTTACAGAGGGATCTTGTGGGATAATCTTTTTGTACACTGTGAAGATGTGTCTCTACCAAGGCACATTCTGATTAGTTTAATAAGAAGCTGAATGGCCAATAGCTAGGCAGGAG